TTCCTATGATCGGTGCATGAGATTATTTTTGTTGTAAGCCAATGTCTATTCTTTCTCATTGTGGATTTGGAGATGTCCCTCCCCTTCCTCTCTTTCCCTTTAATAGGGCTTACAAAGAGGATTCGGTTACCACCCTAACGGAATTGACAAAATGTACCGCTGTACATTACTATTAATGCTTTGACACGAACTTAATGACCGATTCAAAAGTGGACACAGAATAGGGGCTGAAATTTTTCTAACAGCTGACATAGACGATTTGTGTTTGCACCTTGGGTGGAAAGGTAACCAACCAATCTAAATTGTCTTTCGTCTGTATACCCACGAGTCCTAGACAGTTGAATAATTGCCAGACAATTTCGCCACTTCCTCTTTTGCTACGAGTTAGGAACCACTGGGATAAAACTGCTACCACTTAGCATGGGACCATGTCACCTGAAACTTGCTCATTCTTGAGAGATTAGACGTCACATCATTGTAGCATATCCTAGTGACAGCTCTCACCAGATCACAGCTCTCCATGACGTCTAACAGTGTCAAAAACTTGCCAACCCAATGACATGAGAGTCCTCTCAGTATTCTACAAACTGTTGCATTCAAGTGATCTAAGGTTGGGGAAAATTTTCTAACTAATCAGCTATCCATCTGAGGGAATTTTAATTTACTTATTTAAATGGCCAACTTTTCGTACGAAATAATCTGACCATATTCGGTAGGTGCACACAAAATAAGTTTTCCAAAATGGAAGCAAGCACCTACACAGCCTGATTTTCACGCATGCAAAACGGGGCTTAGTTGTCTTATCTCTCCCCCAACATCAGCCACTCATGTTACTCTCAAAAAGTCTAGAAGTGGAGCACATCATAAGTAACAGATGGCTACTCTAAAGTACTCCTCATTTTGCTTGGCTCGAATTGGAAAAATGGAGGAGGAGGGGGAGGAGGAGGAGGAAAAGGAGACTTTTACAATCGTCTCTCCCACCACCATGTTTTGTGACAGCTTGTTTGCTGTTTGTGCGATTCGTCGGTCTGGATTGCGTGAGGGGTTAGGACGAGATTGGCAAGGTTTTGGCTACGCATTGGTCATTACGAGCCCAAGCAGCTTTATACACGCACAGATGGCACTAATCACTCAATTTTTTTTGCATTCAAGACTGGATCCACCAAGCCACAGGTGTTGGGGTCACAGAAGGCAATGAGCCACACTTGCCAGCATACCTTCTGTCCTTTACTGTCGGCATTTACTTGTAATCTGCCTCTAGCAAGCAAAGATTCAACTAATCTGCCCGTCTCACTTTATGGTAGCATCATAGTTGTTTTTAATAAAGTGGGAAATGTATTTTGTAAGGTCTATTGCATGTTGGTGGCAAGAACATTGCAGTTGGCGATGCCAACGAGATAACTTTTTGTTACTTATAAAGTTGTTACTTGTATTAACGCAGTAGACAGACTACAACGGTATTGTAGTTAAACCCTTTGTGATTCGTCCATCAAAAAATTCCACATAACGCTTTGGGTTTAAACAAAATACTTGCCTTTAAAGACAAATACTTGGAGGTAAGTGTATCAGCAAATCAACAAAGTTGACAAGTGCTTTGTATTTGGATTTGAGATTGAACTTTTTGATCCTTCTTCATCGGACAGAGGGCATTGGAAAGTGCTACTAAAGTTGTGATTGACATGACAACGTGACTGCGGTGGCTGTTGCGTAAAAGAAGCACTTACTGGATGCTTGCGTCTCTCACTCAGTCCTACTCATTAATTTGCATGGTCTTTTATTGCAGTAGCAGGTTTAATTTGGATCTAAAACGGAAGAACTACCACTATTTTCACACCCTCAGTGACCCCCAACTGGCACACTTTGACACACTTTGGTAGTCGAATTTGGTCTCTTTGCATTTGTAGGATGAAAGACTCATTGAAAGGGGTAGTTTTAAAAGGGTTCTGGCGCATTATTTTGGGTAAAAGTGCTTTCCTTAAATTGAACAAATTTAGAAGGAAAAATTTGACAAAGTGATCTCAGATTTTTCATAAAAAATCTTGCTAAAATTGCCCTAATGGTGCTTATTTTTGGTGCCAAATGGTATCACAAATGGAAAAGTAGACGTGTAAGATGAAAAATTGAAGGATAGGGCTATTTCGAGGGCGCCCGGTGGTGCTTCTTTTAGGGCGACGCCAAAACCGGCACCACCAACACAAATGTGCTGTGCAAATATCTCTTATAAAAAGGGAGGATTTTTCCAAGTTTTTTTCCTTTTTTAATGTCTTATTAGTCTGATTGAAAGACTTGAAGTCGCTCTCAGCGTTTTGAGTCGCGAGCTTCCTCCAACTGTCTCGAAACCCCTACAAATAAACATACTACTGTTGTAAAGACGTAGTAATTGTCATCACAGGTAATTTTGGGGTGATTTTATTCCATGCAAGTTACGGGCCGAGTAATTGCCTTTGCAGTCGTGTAATCAACTTCCTTGACACTTGTTTAATGGCTTTCGCCACTCAAAGCGGTAACCATAAAAACTTGTTCTTAACACACTATTTCGTGCCATCACCTTTTGGGTGACACTTCAGCCACCGTGGTGTTAAAAATGGCCCATAGCAACATTTTTTTTGGCCATGCTTCCTGTAGGACATCGGAGTTGGCAATTGTAGGTGCTTCTTTTGTCAACTCACCTTTGCATGATAAATATGACTTTCAAACGGGATTGTCATCCTCAACACACGAGGCTTAGAAGAAGGAGGACAGGAGTAGCGTGCTTGGATTGCTCCTTCAATTTACAACTGGTCATTTATGTCCTCCAGCCATAAACACTCCCTCTGCCTCTGTTTTTCCAGTTCACAGCCAGTGCTTGCCAGGCTGCAGACCGAACAAGCATGAGGACCGATTTGCAAAATGAAGAGATGGCTGGAGCAGATCTGGCGATAATTGGACTGCCCGCTGTGAACGACCGGAAATGAGGGGCGACAAAATTGACAAGCTGGGAGCAGAATCAGGGAAGGCAGGCCGGATGCCTCCGATCAGTTGTCAAAAGAGCTTCAAATGTTTCTACCTGCCTTAGGTTTTACATTGTTCTCAATCTTCCTTTTTATTTTCCATAAGATCACGCGTGTAATTAACTTATTCTCTACGATTTTCCCTTCAAAATCAACATACGTGAAGCAGTCTTAGTTTTGTGGTGAAGAGGTTTAGGATGGGAAACGACTAAAAATCATTCGGAGCTTTCATTGCCTGACTCAGTGTGTCTGAGGAGGTTCCATGTCATTAATGCAGTAAATTGATAATTTAGCTATTTACTAAATCGATGTAGTGAAATTCTGCCATTTCACAGAATGAAAAATAGCATTTTAAGAAGAAATTTGGAGATTCTTTGTACTCTTAAAAATTCAGAGCAATTTGATAGACGATACCTCATTCGCACTACAATGCGACAATTGCACTGTCGAAGTGATGCAAAGCAGCAGCATCGCCAGTCTCCATCCCTCTTTCCTTCCGCCTTCCGCCTTCCCTCCTCCCCCTCTCCCTCCCACCATAACGCACTTCGCTCACTTCAAATCGTAATGCCCGCGTGTTTGCGCGTGCAAGTGCGTGCTTGCGCGCGTGCGCGTTAATGGTTGTGAGTTGTACTCAGAAGGAACAGATACAAGCGCGTGCCTGTCCGTGCCACTCTCACGTCGATCCACCCAATTGGCTAGCCAAGGTCAGCTGCAGAGACGGAAAGACTGGTCCGGTCGATCCTCACTTGTCCCAAATGCAATAGAAGTGGGAGAAGCAAGCGAGCAGCGCTAGGAGTCGGTCATTTTATGCATTATTTATTCTCTAGTGCACATACATACATTCCACGCACACATATCCACTCATTCAACAGCTCACTGGCTCACGCTAACACAACTGTCCATTCGGCCTCAGCTGTCATGTAACATAGAGGCCAACCGGTTTAACTGTCGCTTTCCCTGTTGTTCTCCGTCTCATACGCGCACAAATATTCATGATCTTAACCGAAGGTCTGTATAATGCTTTCTCAATGCCAAACCAACCTACAGAAGACCGCAGTTGCCAGTGCTAGGACTGACGTATTGGAATGTAGCAGAGCTTTCGCGTCAATGCACCATGCAGCAGTCACAATCGCCACCACCAGCGGTGCCAGCACAACCGGCATCTCAAACCATTTATAAGCTCGACTCTGGGTCTCATCGACCCGGTAACCCAGATCAAATTCAACCGGATTTATCCCATCTTACTCCCGAAGAGAGAAGGATTATTGAGGATGTTATTAATAGGCAACGACAGGAAGAACTCATTGATCGGTAAGTCTTACGCCCTCTGGTAACTTGGCGGACTTTTCTAATAAAGAAAGATTGTTCGTGAATACTACAGTTCCTCACTCAATTAAATGACATTATGCAATTTAAAAGTCCTGGTCAATTTTCCTTTCCTCCATACAAATTTCTCAATGCACACGAGTTTCTATAAATAATGGTGGTGGAATGCAGTGAGGGAACCATTCTTAGGTTGTCGGAACTCGAAATTGCTTGCTTTTGTTGCATAATACAATTTGCTTTACAGCTAGGAAGTTGAATTATCTGCGTCGACCAACAAATATAATTTGATAATGCCCACCGAGAGATGGCTTGACTGGAAGGTATAATTAATCCATCATTCCAACTCTCAACTGGCACATTTACTGCCGGAATCAGTTGGGGGGTGGAGGAGTGCGGGGGCGTGGATAACTGTCACCTTAACTGCTCGGATGTTTTGTCACTAATTGTTAGAACGATCTCGACCAATTTTAGTTTGCCATGATTTTACAGCCTCACAATCCATCGATTTAGTTGCTATAGTTACCACAAAACGATGGAGAAAACATGTCACCCATCCATGGCCTCACATTTAGATTGGAAAAATCGTTACCTCAAATATGCGCATGCCACTGATGGAATAAGGATTTGCCTATCTTTGGTCCAACTTTGAACTAATAGTTATCTCGAAAATTAATCGGATGGGAGGTATACAGAATCGATCATGTACCTTGAAGTTTACGTCTCTCCTGATTGGCTGAAAAGGAGTCAAAGTTCTGATTGGTTTCCTGTCTAGAGGCATCCGTAATGGCCACTCTCTAGATCTAGTCGAGAATCGCCTTGAACTTCTTATTTGATGTTATTAGAAGTGAAACTCCTCCACTTCTTTTGA